AGACCTCCAGCTGGTTCTTTTACTCGTTCCTATAGACTTCTTTACATTTCCCAGCTCTCGTTTCTCAGACCTCTTTGAAATAAATGCCTTTCCTCGTCAATCCTCTGCAGTCAACCTACACGGGGGGGGGGGGGGGGGGGGGGGTGAGTCCTAGTTGCTTTGTTTTGTTGTTTTTTGTTAACTTTACACAAGTTAGTTATCTGGGAAGAGGAACCCCAACTGGCAAAATGTCTATCAGACTGACCTGTAGGTAAGTCTGTGGGCATTTTCTTGAACGTAAATTGATAGAAGAGGTCCTAGCGCATTGTGGGCAGTGTTACCACTAAACCAGTGTTCATGAGTGAAATAGGAAGGCAAGACGATAGAGCTGGATGGTTTAGCCTTTAAGAGCACTTGTTCTGCCCTGCAGTAATGGCACGCGCTTTTAATCCCAGCACTTGGGAGGCAGAGGCAGGTGGATCTCTTGAGGCCAGCCTGGTCTACAGAGTGAGTTCCAGGACAGCCAGGGATACACAGAGAAATCCTTTTGGGGGTTGTGGGGTGGAGAACTTGTTCTTGCAGAGGACAGAGATTCGATTCCCAGCACCCATAGGGTGGCGTCATAAATGTCCATAAAAACTTCAGTACCACAGGATCCAAAGCCCCTTCTGACCTCCATGCATGCCTATGGTACAAAAACATACGCATAAACAAATTTCAAAACAAAATGGAAAAAAAAAGGAAAGCAATATAAGCAAGCAAGTAAGCAGCATTTCTCCATGGTCACTGTTTCAGTTTCTGCACTGGCTTCAATAAACAATGAACTATCATCTGTAAGCCAAACAAACCCTTTCTTCTCCAAATTGCTTTTTGTTCATGGTGTTTTATTACAGTAATAGAAACCTAAACAAATATACATACTGTGTGGCTTTTAATGTGTGATTTAAGAATAAGTTCTTTAATATTTTTAAAAACTTTTTGTCAGCCACGATTACCAAGGAAAACAGGAATACTTCACAGTTGCTTTCACTGAAACTGTTATATCTTGTGAATTTACTGTTATTAAATAAACTCTGACATTGTAAAGACATAAATATGTTTGTCTATGATTCTGATATGGCACAATCATGGCAACTGTGAAAATCATCTTACTAGGTGTGTATGAAATGCACTGTCTTAAATATAGAAAGGTTAAATTTTACAACTAATTATTTTATTTTTTGATGTTTTATTTTTATTTTGCCTGCATGTATGTCTATGTACCTTGTGCACACAGTGAATGCAGAGGCCAGACAAGGGCATCAGATATCCTGGAACTGGAGTTAGTCAGTTGTGAACTAGAAATGCAGGTGCTAGAAATGGTCCTCTAAATATAAGAGCAGACAGAGCTCTTATTTTATTATTTTTATTATTTATTATTTTAATAAAGATGAATCTAGATGTTAAAAATTGCATAGTTATAGTAGTGTCTCTGAGCCTACTCCTAACATTATTCCCCGATTGCCTTCCATTTGCATGTCAGAGCTGGGAAAGAATGATTCATCAGACATAGCTGTATATGTTCTCTCATCAGCCCAATGGTGAGCTCCAAGTCACATTCTCTAGGACACAAAAAAAAGTGTCGCTCAGATTCTTTGACAGGTTGGAAACTGACATGGGCATGATGGATTTTCATAAAGACAGAGTGAGGAGCTGTCATGAACCTGAAGTTCTACCATCTCACTTCCAACTTTAGTTATGAAGAACTGACCTAAAATACGGCTGGATGGTAGAGAGTTACATACAGTGATAGCCTGGGCAGCATCAGGTGAAATCTACCATGTAGACACTGGAGGCCAGTGCTCAGCACCTGCACAAGTATCCTCCTTGTACCCAAGTACTTACAGATGAGGGGGCTAAAGAGTGGAGCTTCCAGAGAAGGTCTCTGCTGGTAACTGTTTCTTTGAGGGATTCTTGATGGGATGATGAATTTGTGGGTTCTGATCAAGTCTGCATGTGGAAAATATAGGCAATGATGTGATTTCATAGTGGGAGACCTGGCTTGCTCCCTGGAAGAGTCAAATACTAGATCTGTTCATTAACTTGACAGTAAGGACAGGGTCCAGAACAAAGCTCTAATGCCTGCTGGACTTCTCCCACTAGTGATATCATTTCCTGTTCTTTATGCTACTAGGAACTGAGAAGCAGCTCAGTCAGGTGGGAGACCCATCATTATCTCATGCAAGGATTCTTGGCCGACAGTAGAAGTGTGAAAACAGGGTTAAGAAGAAATCTCTTTGGATGAGTGGACAGATATCAGCCTGCTGAGATACTTTAAGAGAATCACCACATAAATAATAATATTTCCTCTGAATCAAGCAAAAATAACAAGTATCTATATAAAAAGTATCCATATTAATCATTAAATTTTTTAAATATTATGGAGTGGTCAGAGTGTCAACTTGATTTTTCCATCAGTCTGGATATTTTAAAGGTTCTTAATATTGTTTTTTGTTAATTAAATGAAAACAGGCTCTTTTACAGACTCTTAGAATTATGTACTGTTTTGAAGGTAATCTGATGGATGATGGATTTTGATGGCCAATTTGAATCTAGCTTTGGGATGGCATCTGATAAACTCACTTCTACATGTGCTGGATATGCCAACACTAGGGTGTTTGCAGGTGTGGAATAATTACACAATGTAAAAAAAAAAGGAACTGACATTTGGAACGTGTACAAACTGCAAGCCCACTGAACAGAATGGGATTTTAGCAAGATGTAAATGTAACCAATTCCATACTCAACACAGAAGCAATGCTGAGAATAAAATGTCTTAACTACTTTTTTATTGATTCACTTGAGTTCCCCATGTGTTTCATCTCATTGAAAAAAAAAACAGTGTTTCTAAAGTTCTTAGATTTTCGACTTTAAGTTGCACATTGGCAAATCTATTTTTATGTATACCTTTGATTCTTACATTAAAACAGAAGTCACATGTTTAAAAATAACCACTCCTTAAAACAAAAGCAGTTATCAATGTTGTTTACAATACAAATCCTGAAGACATTTGATTACATTAAGATTTAGTAGTCTAAAAAAGAATGCGGTACATTATACTAAATTCTGGCAACAAAGTGTGTTTACTCACAAGAAAATTCCAATTCTTCCCTGGTTTTATAAAGACCAATCTATTTCTCACATGTTATAACTCTATTCAATTGAATTATGATTTAAAATGCAGAGTGATAACAACTACAAAATATAAATACAAAATGCTAAGAAAAGTTTATCATGTAAAGGAAAATGTCTCATGCATTATAATTTTTTTAATCCAGCATAAAGGCAAATGTGGTTTTTCAAAATGCAGCCCACATTCAATCACAGGAAAAAATTCAGTCAAGCCACCTAATATACAGACTTTACAGATTTATTTAAATTTATGTTCAAAATTCCAGTAACAAAAGTCTACCTAACAATTAGAGTTAACATCAACTAAGATCTGCAAACCACAAACATTTGCAAGCCAAGTTAGAGCATGCAATTCTCTCTGAAAGAAAAGAAGTCTGATGTGGAGTTAAAAGGCAGGTAAAAACAACTATGAACTTTCTTTAAATAGCTTATATTTAAAGTAATGTAAGTGTACATTATATTTATAATATAGGGCAATATATGTTTTACCAACTATACATGCAGACTATACTGTGTGGTAAAATGATTCAACTTAAAAAAGAAAAAGAAAAAAGATCCAAAATATCCATTTAAGCTGGAGAAATCACAAATCAAACCTCTCCCTGCAAGTCATGTGAGGCTAACCTGAAAATAAATCATAAAATCTCAGTACTTAAATCCTAAATTAACACTCTAATTTGGGTTTATTGTTAACAATTTACACTATTCTTTTCTTTGGGTTAAAAAAGATTTTTTTTAAGAGCCAGCTTTTGGAATCAGCAATGTAACTTCAAGTCCTGCCCTCTGACAGCCAGAAAGGTTGCTTTTTAAAAAAAAATATTGATAGTTCTCAACACCAACACCCTGGAGATAATAAATTTCACAACTCACTGGGTTAAACTGCTCTAATGCAATGGAGCTAGTAAAATACATATATCTGTTCTTAAGAAAATTTACAAAACTAACAATTTTTTTCCAGAATTATAAAAGATAAAAATCTATGAATTGATACTCTAGTATGATCACAGAAAGATAGCAAACTAAAGTCAAGAAGTATGCAGGGAGGGGGCTGTCTGTAACACCCTGCAGTCTCTCTACTTGCTCTGAAAATTCCCATTTAAATACCTTAGAAACCTGTTCTGGTCTTTGCAATTCAGTGACTAGTTTATCACTCACACATTTTTTTTAAGTAAGAAAAACTTGTTTTCTTTTTAGACTATCCTGTAAGAGATTACTTGATGGTGGTTCCTATCAAGTAACAGAGGGCATGAGGGAGAGAGGGTCAACTACTTAGAAGCCTTTGGAAATTTCAGAAAGACGTCTGGCAGTTTTATATTTTATTCCTCTTCCTCCTGCATCTCATTTTCTTTTCCTTTTAAAAATTTCAAGTTGATATTTCACATAAGATTTGATTAAAATAAGAGAGGCTTTCCAACATTTCCCAACCTAGAAAACAACAAAAGTCAGATGAACTCAGTGCCAGCAATAGAATCACGACATAAATTCAAGCTGAATAGTGGTATGTCACACCCAAAGATGCCCTCACACCTTTCCAAACATGCCCCTTGCTTCACACAGGATCCAATACAATTCAGTTCCAGCCTCAATGTATAAGTTTGCCTGCATGAGGAGCAGATATCATGCAGGTCCCAGTGAGTTCAAATTACAGCAAAACCAACAAGATGCACACCCCACCCCACCCCCGCCACTGAGGAAAATAATTCAATGAAGTTTCTTGTTGGATTGTGCTTAAATAAATCACACCATTGCATGAAAGTTTTAGAGGATAGTCAGGAACCAATGAAGGGAAAAGACACGTGTACTTGGCCAGCGGTTTGTTCTGGGTATCCTGGTCCCACTCTCCCACAAGCTCACTTTTCCCTGTAATACAGCAGGTAGTACTTCAGGGGGTCGGGCAATGGGAGGCGCAATACCCTCTGGCGAAGGAAGTTTACTGGTGGCTCAGTCTTGGCCTCCCGTAAGGTCCTCTCTGCCACTTCCCGCCGATCCTCCTCTGCATCCTCACAGCTGGTGTCATCAGAGGGTTTGGAAATTCGACTGGCAAAGACTTCTTTGTCCAAAAAGACAATGGTCTCCATTCGCCCACGACGAAGTCGCCTTCTTTTAAACATAGGTGTGCTCTTCAGTCCACCTCCTCTGGTGGCTTCCTGGCGCATAGCCCTCTTGATGCTGCCACAGATAGCAAGTCTGGCCAGGTCCTGCAGGCTGCGCACAGCCAGTGGTGCTGTGGACAGGGGTAGAGCCTATGGGCATGGGCAAGGTCAACCCCACACCTAACTTGCTGGAAGAACTTCAAAGAAGGGGAACATTCTAACAAAATAGGAACTAGTGGTCTACTCTGCATGTGTGTTTCTTAGACATATCCACATATACTAATTCTAACAAAATAGGAACTAGTGGTCTACTCTGCACCATGCGTGTTTCTCAAGGACATATCCACATATACTAATTCTTAACTCTGAAAAGGAAAGAAATACTGTCTAGCCATACATCAGTCAACAGCAGAATTTGGAACCTTAGGGTTTGTTCTTGCAGACTAGTTTATAACTCAATTTACTCTGCTCAATGACATGATAACATCTACTCAACAATACAGTAATCTATATTTCGAACATCCTTTTATCTATTTTAATAGTTTCATAGTAATTTATATATTATTTTTCTGCTAAAGTAGACAAATGAAAATCTAAAACCATTTTAAGGAAAAACAAAATTTCCAAATCACACCAAAGGGAAAAAAAATGGAAACCAAACACAACTTTAAGCTAACAATAAACACATAGCAGTAATAAGGGTTTTTCTCAAAGTAAAAGGAATTAGAGACCAAGGGTTTAAATACATTAAACAGAAAATCTAAAACCCTTTTTCCCTCCAGTGCACATAACCTTCTCCAAACAAGATGCCACCCTATAGAGAGGACTCTCGTGTTATCTGCAGCATTTGCTATCTAAATCATAAACCCTGCCTAAAGACCACCAGTATCCTCTGCCCTGCAGAAATGCAAGTCTGCAGACCAGGTTCTAACAGCAAACAATACCTCCTCCCTCTTTCAGAGGTACCAACCTTTCTCTCTTTTCCTCTGTCCCTGAGAACATGGGGCTGTGCTCTCTCTCTTTGGGATGGTTCTGCAGTATCTTTCCCGCATCCCCCAATGTAGTTCAACAAATGACCTGTGGTATATCCTGCTCTCACTAACTCAATTCAAGAAAGACTAGTTCTAGAACCTCTGCAATTCAGCTGTTTCCCTGAGATGCTAAAAACAGTCCCTCACTGGCTACTGGGCTCCCAAGCACCAACTCTGGCCTACTGAGCTTTCTCTAAGGACTACCAGGAATAGCTGGTTCAGTTCATATCCCTTCTCTATGATTTCTCTTCCTTGGGCCTTATGATACCCCCAAAGGCTCCAGTATCCACTCCACTTCTCTCTCAGTATGATCCTTGGTTTTATATCTATTCTATGACTTTAAGTAATACAGACCATTTCCCTAAGCTGAAATTTCGTCCCAGTCAAGACAATCCTACCCCACACTTAGCATAGACAATAATATCAATACCTTGGGCTCTCCTGTTGCTCCTCAGAAAGGTCATGTATCCCTAAACCCTTCCTGCTGAGGCTAGTGTAGTCTCAATCTTTGTCTCTTGCCTGATGGGGAAAACCCCAACTTCCTGCCTGATGTCTGCCTCCAACCTGAATACAGGCCACTTAGGAGGATGCTCCAGGCAGTGCATGTCCAAGTTGTTCAGCATCATTGTGGGCTGGCTTTGCTATACGGTTTCTCTTACTTCCTTGGTCTCATAAAAATCAGTGATCTAGGAAAATCTGGGAAGACAGAAACTGCAAATACCCTACCCAGCTTTGGTTAATGCTAACCAAATCACATGAATGTTTATCACTAAACATTCACAGTGAGCATTTGAGAAGGCAACACATATCCAGGCTTGACAAGTCCTCATACAGAAACACTCATTTCTAACCAGATCTTCAAAGTCTTCCAAATGCTCTCATGAGTCCTTGTCTTCCACCAAATCCAGCCACTATGCCAGAAGATCATAGGCCACATTTGTTGAAAGAATAAAATTTCAGAGCACCAGTCTGACAAATTCACCCTCCAAATGATGGCATTGCAGCATCTTCAATAACATCTGAGGCTCTCCACAGCCATACAATGAACTAAAACCCAAACTACACATAAGTCAAGTTTTTCCAACACATCCCACGACAACACCACAGAGTGTATGTCTCTATTGCCTTGGTTTTCCTGGTTCTCTTTTTACTCCTCCTCTCTTAAGGGAATTCCTTCTCACCCTCAAAATCAAGCACAACATAACAACATCTTGTACATGCCTTCCCTAGTCTTTATAAACTCCTTGGTATGTTTCACTGTTAATTGTAAACTGAATTTCATATGACACACAAAGTAGGACAATTTGTTAAATGACTATTACAAATTGAAATGTTTTGTAAAAAATTCACCAAAATGTATTTGTTTTCAATCTATAATAATTCACATTTCTATTATATTTTTCTCCCTCTCTTTCTTGCATACACACACACACACACACACACACACACACACACACACACATTTTCTAAATGTTTTAAGTGATCAGAAAGCATGATGAATAGTCTTCACTTGGAAATCCTAGATCTTCAAAACTTTGAAATCCTATTTCTGTGAGAACTGTTTAAAATATAAAACATCAGGATGAATATCACCCTATTTAAGCTCCATGCTGAGTCTACATCTTAGAAATAAAAACACAAAGGTTTAGAGCATATGAGGCTACCCCAAATTTCCTAGTCGCACAGTAGAACAGGCTCCTCATCCATATTGCTTACAGCAGCATGAGACAGGTACTGTGAGAAAGAGAAAACTGTGTGCAGGTGCCACTACACATTCCCAGCAGGCAAAGCAAACTGCCTGAGCTTCCCACATGGCAAAATTAGCTCTTCTGTGAATCTGCTACTTTCAAATGCATGATCAGTAACAACATTGTATAGATTTAAAAGAAGACTAAAATCATCTAAGATGGGTTAAATAGAGAGACTTTTTAAATGCCTAAAGTATCTTGTATAATTTGTGGGCTGAAATAAGGGAGGTTAACACTCTTTAATATCAAAGGGATTTTTTTTGTACTTTTTTTCTATTCTGATTTTAACCAGACATAAAAGACAGGTAGATGCTTATACTCACGTAGCTGAACAAGTCTGGGTTGTCCTGACTCCGAACGGCAGGGTTGGACCAGAGGGGCGAAGGAAACAGCCAGAATCTTTTTTGTTTCCCAAGCAGAGGGGCCTGTGCGTGTTATCTTGGTCAACTATCTCAAAGACAAAACAAGAATATCCAAAGGATTTGGCTACTAGACAACTTACATTTAAGTATAATCGTTTCAATATATGAAATCTAAATATGAAATAGCCTGTCTATATAACACCTAATGTGATGTGAATTACAACTAACAGCAATATATTATTATGCAATGCTTAGCATGAACATACTCAAACTCCTTAACCTACCTTCTGTTTACAAGAAATACAAATGATAAGCAAGTTAAAGGGCTAGAAGAGAATGAGATAAGGAAGAAAAATTCTTACCAAACAATTTTCTAGGGTTCTTCAAAAGAGTGATTGGGGATAAGTTGGGAAGGGTCTGTCCTCAGTAAAAATAATCAAAGATGCACAATAGCCACAATATTTCAACCATAAAAAACCCTGAATTCTGTGCTGATATGGGATGTCCTTATGTGTATGTGTTGCTTTTACTGGATAATGAATAAAGCTGTTTTGACCAATGGCTTAGCAGAGTAAAGCCAGGCAGGATATCCAAACAGAGATATAGAAAGACAGTAGGCAGAGTCAAGGAGACACCATATAGGAGACAGACGCAAGAACCTTTCGGGTAGGCTACAGCCTCGTGGTAATATATAGATGAATAGGAATGGGTTAATTTAAGATGTAAGAGCTAGCTAGGAATACACCTAAGCTACTGGCCAAAGAGTGTAATAATTAATATAGTTTCTGTGTGATTATAAATGTACAAACTCTGCTTTCAGTGTGCTGCTTTCAGGAATATAGCTACAATGGCATCTGAGGCACAAAACATCTAAGGTGCAAGCCATCTGCACCTGTAACAGGAAGGGAGCAGGAGAGGCCAGACACTACCACCATGTTGATGTGACTTTATTCAACATAAATGTGTCATTTTGGATATCTAAGCAATTGTCCTTACTCTCACTAACTGCACTTCAGAGGTGCAGTGGGATATGTTATCGGATACACAGCAATGTAGATCATTAAAACACTTTATATTATACAATTAGTACCTAAGAATCCAATTTAACAACAAAGTCGCATTTGTTTAACATGACTAGGACAGTCTGTAAGTAGCCAAGTAAGTCATAGAACTTATAAGTTTATATGCTTATCTTTTCTAAAAACATCTAACTCAGAAAATCATCCACAATTAAGACTCTTTAAAAGGATTAAGCAGCACAATATATAGAAAAAATATCTAAAGATTAATCATATTCAGGGATAACAGCAGAAACATTCTTTCAGAAAATTTTGAAGATTAAAAAAACGTGTATGTGTGTGTGCAAAGGTCTGTGCATGAGTGCCAGTGCTCTCAGAGTCCAGTACAGAACATCAGAATCCCTAAAACTGGAGTTACAGATCTTCATGAGCTCAGTTCCTTTGTAAGAACAGTATGTTCTGGGAGGGGGGAGGAGTGGGAGGCTGGAAGGAGGCGGAAAAAAAAAAGAATAAAAAACCAATATATATTGTATATATGTTTTTCTTACAATATATTGTAAATATATACATATTATTTACAATAAAAAATCAAATAAAAAAAGAACAGTATGTTCTTAACCGTTGGGCCATCTCTTCATCACCTAGAATCTTTTTTTGTTTTGTTTGTTTGTTTAAGAAGAGGGTTTTTGTTTTTGTTTTTGTTTTTTTGTATTGCCCCGGCTATCCTGGAACTCGCTCTGTAGACCAGGCTGGCCTCCAACTCAGAGTTCCACCTGATAAAAGGCATGCACCACCACCATCCAACTACCCAGAAACTTTCTTTTTAAAGGATAGTTTCTAGCTAGAATGAACATCAAACATTTAAGCATAGTACATAAATGACATGTAAGACCTTAAATAAAACTATAAGCCTGTATTTCATAATCTAGATGAACAGATGGAGATAGTATGAGGATGCCCATCCTTTTCAAATTAACTAGAGCTAAAATGATCTCAATCAAAATTAGTAATACTAAAAGACAAACAAAGCCTTATTAGTCACCTCCCTTTGATAAAAAAAAAGGGCAAATTACTTAGAAAATTAATAAGCAAACATTAAGAACCAAAATTTATCCTATATGTCTTACATAATGTATACTTCAGGGGGACCAAATCAGTAATAAGCAGTTTTCTCTTTATCAAAGTTAACCAGCACCTAAATACAGAAAAAAATGAAGGAATTTAAATGTATTATTCTATAGTTCTCAATGAAACAATGGATCAGGCTACTATCATTTTACAAGGATGAGTAAACAGAGAAGCTGCTTGTACCTACATACTTAAGTAGAACTTATCCTCGAGATCCAAGGTTTTTAACATACAAGCAATTATATACTAAAAATATTCAGAAATAATTGTCTACTTCTGAACATGTACTGACTTTCTGCTTGTCATTATTCCGGCAACACAATAACTATTTATATAGTACTGATTGGTGTGGGAGAATTGTCTGTATTCTGTCAATCATGTTATAAGTAAACGTTGATTGGCCAGGCAGGAAATACAGGCGGGAAAACCAGACAGGGAGAAGAAATGATGTAATGAGAACAGGAGAATTCTGGGAAGGAGGAAATTGATTCCTTCCACTCCTGCCTAGACCACCGAAGCAGCAGGATGTAATCTGCCCCACTGTAAAAAGGTATTGAGCCACATGGCTAACATAGATCAGAAAAATGGGTTAATCAAGATGTGAGAGTAAGCCAGTAAGAGGTTAGAGCTAATGGGCCAATCAGCTTATAATTTATGGAGACCTATGTGTGATTTTCTTTGGGGCTAAACAGTTGTGGGGTACTGGGCAAGACAAAAACCCCAACAAACAAGCAGACTGGCCCTCCATGTTACAACTGATACTCTATCAGACATTACAAGTAATCTAGAGGAATTCTGAAGCACACAGGAGGATGTGTGTAGTCCATATGCCACTATCACATGACATGATTTTATAAAAGGATCTGAGGCATCTCCATATTTTGTCATCATGAGTGGAAGAAAGTGATCTCAGAAAGAATCCTTTGTATACTGAGAGCAAATGTCTATTTTTAATACATGGATTATATTCTTTTGTTCTCCTCCATCAAAATATGACAAAGGTAAACTCTACCAAGCCTCTAGATATAATTACCAATAGGTAGAAAATACAAAGGACAGAAGAACATGCATCTATGGACTGAAAAGTCCAGAGTGTAGGAAAACACTACGAGACCAATAACCTACTCTCCTGAATAAATCAGTTGTAAAGAAAATATGAATAAGAAAACCAAAAGATTAAAAAATAAGAAGGAAAACTGAGCTAGGAAAATAGCTCAGTTGGTAAAGTGTTTGACATGCAAACAGGAGAACCAGAGTTCCAACCCTCAGCACTCAATTAAACATTAAGGCAGATGGTGTGATTCACCTGTAATCCCAACAGCCGGAAGGTGGAGACAAGGAATCCACAGAGCAAGCTGGCTAGCTAGATTAGGCAAACTGGTAAACTCTGGTTTCAAGTGAGAAATCCTGCCTCCATACATAAGGTGGAAAGCAATCAAAGAAAATACCAGATGTCAATTCTCTGGCCTCCACATGCACATGACATACATACCTGCACACTGGAAGATATACGTGGCCACACACTTGTGAATACCCATACATAAACACACACACCTAAGACATGCATCAACCAAATGCAACTTTTAAATACCAAAATGATATAGATTCAAATTTAGATGACTTAAAATTACATTCATGACCTCTTTTAAGTAAAGCATTGTAAGTTACAAGACAATCTATACAAGAAAATTTTGGAAAAGGAAAAAATGTGTAAAATACTTTCCATCAAGTATTGAGCAAGTAGACCATTATAAGACAACAAAAACAACAAAGGGAGCTAGGATGAAGATGAAGAGAAGGAAGAAGAGGAGGGAAGGAAGAAAATTAGTGGTGAGAAGGAAAAAAGAACAAAAAGAACAAATCTAAGAGAAAAAGGAGGTAAGGGAAGGTACAGACATAGCACCTAGGGTTTGGAAGACCTAGGCATATCCATCCTGCCCTCGGTTAATAAAACGGCAGAAGCTATTGCAAAAGTAGTACAGATAAACTGACTGTGAAGGAGAGTATACACAACATCAGCTGTGTAGAGAACCTGACCTTCTCTTCCAAGGGCATGACAAGGATCCCTCCAACTTTAAGAAGATTCTTCATGGGGGCTGGAGAGATGGTTCAGAGGTTAAGAGCATTGCCTGCTCTTCCAAAGGTCCTGAGTTCAATTCCCAGCAACCACATGGTGGCTCACAACCATCTGTAACGAGGTCTAGTGCCCTCTTCTGGCCTGCAAGCATACACACAGACAGAATATTGTATACATAATAAATAAATAAATATTTTTAAAAAAAAGAAGATTCTTCATGTACTCTTCGTGTTCTTTCTGCACACCTGCTCCACAACACACACGATCATACTGACAACAATCTGGAGCAATCTCTAGGCAATTGCCAGTTACAAACAAAGGTTCACAGAAGTCAAATCTGCGAAGAAAGAAGTTTTCTGTAACTATATGTGTCATTGCAACAAGTGCATAAAACAAACTTGTGCTTACCATAGGTTATGTTTTAATTATAAAATCACAGACAAGGAAACACTTTCTGGATCCAGGAGCTAGAAGCTGTATTACTATATAAATAGATCCTTAGAAATTACAAACAAAATAAAATGAAAGTGAATGTTCCAACATGATCTAAATATAAAGCAACAGCAGCCATCAGTTTTCACTGTTTTTACAATGTGCAACACCACATTCAGTTGCATGACAAGCAGATTTTGATTATTTCAGTGTGTGTGTGTGCATGCATGTACCGCATGCATGCATGAAAACTTCAGAGGACAACTTGTAGAAGTCAGTTCTCCTTTCACCAGGTGGTTCCCAGAGATCAAATTCAAATCATCACTCTGGGCAGCAAGTTCCTTTACCTACCCTGAGCCATTCTGCCAATCCCAACAGGAAGTTTTAAAGAGCACTTTCTCTTTTTGGACAGGCACTCTCTACTGTCTAGCCTAGAAACTGACATGTAGACCAACTTGCTCAAACTCACAAAGATCTGCTTGCCTCTGTCCACAACTACCAGCAAAAAAAAAAAAAGCACTTTTTATTCTCTGAAACTCCCATTCTTTAAGAAGTTTAGTGCATGTTTTAAACACCAAGAGCTACTTACATAAACTGTTCAAAGACAAACGTAACTATTCTATTGTAGAAACCATTAGGTGATAAAAGTTTTCTATACTGGAATATGAAAACTGAATAAAGTTTTTGTTCTCTTCTCTTACTATACTGATGAAAAGTTAATGTAAGTGTCATAAGTTATAAAACACAAAGCTGGCTGGAAAATGGTGGCCCACACCTTTAATTCCAGCACTTGGGAGGCAGAGGCAGGAGGATTTCTGTAAATCCGAAGCCAGCCTGGTCTGATTTCCAGTGTAGTCAGAGCTGTAAAACAGAAAAACCATGTCTCAAAAAATAAAAAAACAAACAAACAAAAAGCTGCCCAGGTGTGGTGGTGCATGCCTTTAATCCCAGAACTCAAGAGACAGAGGCAGGTGGGTTTATATAAATTTAAGGCCAGCCTGGTCTACATAGTGAGTTCCAAGATAGCCAGGGCTATGTGAGGGTACTTTTTCTCAAAAAACAAAGAAATAAAATAAAATAAAAACCATAAAGCCCTTAAGACTAGAGAATATTAAAATAGTACAGTAACTAGGGTAGATACACATATAACCGGGGATCATCTCATCATACTTTGTTTATTGATCAATGCATATTAAACAGGCTTTTTCTATCTATCATTAATGCCCTTAGTTGAACCAATGGGTTGCATCTGACCATACTTGTCAAAACTATCACTTGTTCTGATGAAGACATTCAGTTTCTGCTTGGCATACTCAGTCACATCTGAATGAAGCTCCACCCCATGGTTCACACCAAAAGGACCTGAAAATATTGAGAATAACAAAGCTCTTAGAATAGGAAAAGAACCCTTGTTCATTTGTTTTTCTGTACTTTACTAATTACAACACAGATAATTATGTAATGTATAATTACAGAAATTCATGAGGTTTTAAGGTCTCAGCACATTTGTGGCTCTAAATCACTCAGGGAGTCTTTCTATTCATTAACACAGTATTTGTTTTGATGCCTGGACTTTTCAAACATCAAAAGAACAATTTTTTAAAAATTGCAAATTGAAAAAAAAGCAAGAGAAAAAGAAATTTTTCTGAAAAATTTAAGAAAAAATCTATATTTACAAATAAAACTTATATTAGGCTTTCTCTATATCTCACAGCACCTTCATTATCACTACTGGCGGTATCGAGTGGCAGTGTCTCCAGACTTACTCTCTTCACAGGCATTACGGCTCACTCTGTGTGTGTGTGCGTGTGTGTGTGTGTGTGTGCACGCACACACATACGAGTATCCATAGCACAGAGATCAACATTAGGTATCTCCACTCCCAAAGTTACTGTTTGAGACAGATTCCCACTCAGCTTAACTGGCTGGCCAAGAAGCCCCTAGAGCCTATCTCTGTTTTGCAGCACTGAGATTACAGGCACACACTGTTGCACTTGGCTTTTTATGTGTTCTGGGGATTTAAACTCAAGTGTTCATGGTTGTACAGCATCTCCTAAGTTCCCAGGATCTTTTCATTAGCATTTCTAATCTAGGTGGCTTTATTATCTATTCCCCCCAACAAAAACCACTACCTTAGTCAAGGTAAAACTTTTCAGGTAAAATCAAGCAAGTCAGAGGAATGATAAATAATCTGGGCCTGTGTACTTTTCTTAAAGCATGGAAACCACGTCTCAATCAAAGACAAATTAAGATTAAAAATCATTTCAATTGAGAAGAAAAACAAGCAACATCTAAAATCTTTGCCCCAATATACATTTTACACAAGGCAGGAATTCAATAGCTCTTTGGTTGGTAATCCTGATAATAATATCAGAAATGGCCATATTCATACATACATTCTACAACTTGTAGAGAATACAGCCTAAATGACTCCAAACATGATAACCTAAGAAATCCCTTCCATCTCTGAAAATGCCTTAAAAATACATAAACTTATTACTCCTTTAGTAGCAAACAACAAAACAGAAACAGCTACAATGAACTTCAACTACCAAAGGATTTTAATGACAGTGGAAAAAAGAGCAAAAGAATGATTAAATTAAATTAAGAAATCACATAAAGTCAAGATTTATACACTTTTGCTGTTTTCCATCATTCATAGCAGAATGCAGCAGCACAGGTAAGAGGAGACAAAGAAATGGAAATCCCCCACTTACAACTCATCAATCATCCACCACCTGTAGCTAAGCTTCAGGCAACTGATAGGAGGTTCATGGTCTTCACCAGGGGATGCAACCAACCCACTACATTTTCTATCTCAAACGATAGACATTGTTCTAACGCAGAGAGGACTCAAGCTCCGTATCCACACTCACCTAGAATGAGGCCCACCATGGAGCTGAGGTAGCCAGTACCACTGCCCAAATTGAGAAATGAGAGCCCAGGCTGCAGATCCAGAGCCTCCATCACCTCTGAGTAGATGCAAGGGGCTGAGAGATGAATGTTTCCATGCTTCCATGCCAAGTCTTTGTACGCATTTTCTTTAAATTCTTCAAGGTAATAATCTGCTCGATCGATAGCTCGGAAAGCCTGCTCTACTAAGTCCGTCCGGATGTACTGGGCTTCCTTCAGATTGTCCATGAGCTCATCGTTGTCCTCACCAGCACTCACAGCACCGCCCATGTTCAAGATTACAATCAAGCAAGACTACAATTAAAACATTAATAACTATTTACATCAAAGTCAAGAGCAAAACAATAAAACCTCTAAACACATGTTATTTTCACGAATATAATAATAAATAAGAATGTAATAAAGACAGAAGTATCTTTTGTCAATAACTGCTTCACCCTCCAAGGATGCTGGTATTGGGAGCAGGGATTACAGGGCCAAAGGAATGGTTCAGTGGGTAAAGTACTTGACACAGAACCAATAACATTATTGCATTCCCCAGAACCTACATAAAGATGAGAGGAAAGAATCCAACACCACTGGGTTGTCCTCTGATCTCCTCATCCACACAATGGCATGTGTGAGCCCACACACACCATAATTTTTTTAATTAGGAAAAAAAAAATCCTAGTACCACTAGAAAGTTAAGTCAACAGCAAATAAGCCATTTGATGTTTGACTGACTCAATTTTTTTTAAAAAAATTACATTTATTATTTGGAGGATATGTATAGTAGTCTATTGCACCACAAAACACAAGTGGAGGTCAGAGAACAATTTGCAGGAGTGATCTCTAGGGATCCTACGGTACCTTTACCCTTTGAGCCATCCTGAAATCCAAATTTAATGGTATCCCAATGTTAACTAGGGCATTACATCTCAACGTACACACAAACTCATCCACAACAAGCAATCCATCCAACCTGACTTGGTTACTCTGATGTTTAAACTGTAGGTAAAAATATCCACAAAACTTTCTTCCCAAATAGAACACACTGTGACAAATACCTAATTGTAACAAACATAAAATCAGTTTCAAGGCTAACGTTTAGCAGAGAAGTTGTCCCTGCCAGCACTGTGTGTCCTACATCCCTAACACAACTTCCCCTTGCCTCTAAGAAATATACCTCTTATCTTTTCCCACAGTGTCTTGCTGAAGAAAGCATTCCTTTTAGGTCCAATTACTAATATACAATATGCCCTGGTAAGTACACAGAGAATATTTTTTACCCTGAAGAAGTCTTTTTCTTCATAGAAAAATAATATCCTCCCCAGTTTTATACTGACCTTGGGTGGCTTTTCCAAACTAATGACTTTATTTCTTACAAGGTGGTGATGCTGGTATAAACTGCTGAAGACTATGGAGTCACAGGAAGATCTGTAGACTTTCTGAATCAAAACAGCCTCCTGTTCAGGAGTTCAAGGTCATCTTTAGTGAGTTCCAGGCCAGCATGGACTACATAAGAACCTGTCTCAGACCAGGTGGTGGCACATGCCTTTAGTCACATCACTCAAGAGGCAGAGACAGGAGGAGCTCTGTGAGTTTGAGGCCAGTCTAGTCTACAGAGTGAGTTCCAGGACAACCAAGGCTACACAGAGAAGCCCTGTCTAGAAAAATAAAAAGGAAAATAAAAAAAAGAAGAACCTCAATAACGACAAAACTACCATGGTTCCCCTCCCCTCTCAGTCTTCTTTCTGGAACACTAGAGACAACCACTATACACATCCATGTGCACAAATGGTAACAGCGCTGCCTGGAAAACTAAGCCTAGAAATGAAGATACCACTCTGACATCTTAAGACAGGTGAAAAACTATGTCTTGATACATATTTGTTTCTATTTTATGACAAAATAGTCCATCTTCATAATCAAGACAAATAATATTTTTCAACTCATGATTCAACTATTGAAATTTCATCTACTTCTAAAGTAGATTCGGAGCTCTTTCCCCCAGCTGTAACTAGTCCTTAATGCTAATACGGCTGGGCTTAATCTTGGATAAGTCACTTAGTCCTACTGCTACACTATCAATCTAACAGGGTCACCTTAAAATTGGGACACTAGTTGAAAATAGAGTAACGTATTTATATGCTTACAAGCCAATCTAGGAAAGAACCTTTAAAAACCACATAGCTACTGAATCAAGAAAGTCATCCTCTTCACCCTGAATATGTCACTCTGCCACAGTTCCAATATTTAACAGTTTCTAGCAGCTACCACAAACCATGTTAGATATGTTTCATTTAGTACTAGATGTTTATCTTACTGAACTTTTCCTCACATGAAAGCTTATTCCATATTAAAATAACAGAATTTCGCCAGGCGGTGGTGGTGCATGCCTTTAATCCCAGCACTTGGGAGGCAGAAACCAGTCTGGTCTACAGAGTGAATTTTAGGACAGACTCCAAAGTTACAGAGAAACTGTCTCAAAAAAACAAAAAACAAACAAACAAAATAAACAAACAATTTCAGTAAGAATAGCAGCCATCTTTCTAACAGTTACCACCATCCAGTCAGCACTACACTAAACATCTAAAGGTGGAATAAGCTAGCTGGTCTTAGTTACTGATGCTCAGTCACAGACTGCAAGAGGAGTGTGGTGAAACCCAGCACTGTTTAGCCAAAGGCTTTTGTTTTGTGCACATCAAGGGTACAGATGTTAAAGACTCACAAGAGAACAACATTCTTTGTTAATTTTTTGTTAATATTTTCATAATCAAGTATAATGTGCATTTTACTGGTAAACTGTTCTGTGCTGTTTAAACTTGTTCAAAATGGATGATGAAAGCAAGGCCTCTCTTGTACCAACTCTAGCATATTTGTTTCCAGTGGTCTCCAAATGTTCTCCAAAATACCTTTTTCTAGGGCTGGATGGGCACCTAATTCTATGAATGGAGGAAAGAAAGAGCAAAACAGCCCAGGAATAAAATACTGTGTCCTTGATAATGACTAAAACGCTAACCATTTCCAAGACTATCGTTTATCAGATGGTATAAAAACGCCTCAGTAGGAACAGGAAGCCAGAAATTCAGCCATGGAAACCTCACCCATGGAGCGAAAGTTGGCTTGAGAATCCAGATGACCGCTTCAACTTCTCCAGTCATCTGCTTCTTGCTATTCTTTAAAAAACAATAAACAAACAAAAATAACAACAACTGGAAAGCCTCACCTGGGTCTCTCAATCAAGAATTCCAAATGGCTGCTTCAATTAGGACTTTTCCAGATGATTTCTGTCATTATCTTTTGTTTGTTCCCTCAATGGCTACTCAAGTCATCTCTATTAAATGTGAGTACTAAATCTGATGATGTTTTGCTATTTATCTTCTATTGCTATCACTACTCACTACTTGTCATATCACATACAGGATATGACAGTCCTGTTTTATCCATTGATGCATGCTCTGTATCTCTGTCAGTGGTTGAAGTATGGGCATTTCTTTGCCCAAAGGCCAGTTCTGCCAAATAGAAAGGCTCCAGATGGAGTGTCTTTGGTGCTCAATATTCTCTCAGGAATAGAGCAGTGTTGCCAGGAGCAATTGTGTCTCACTATCATGAAACTCTGAGTTAGATTAAAGGCCATTTTCTACAGCTCTTTGAAGAGTCGAAGATTATCTATCTATACTGAGTATAATCTCTATATATCTAGAGAACCTGATTAGTCTAATTATAAATGACAAACTTAGATGACTATTTATCTATATAATTCTCAATATCTATCTAACTTAAAGACTAAGACAATAAACAACTGTGTAACAAATGAGGATAATGACCTCCAAATATAAACACTTTACAAATAAACATTGCAATATGGCAAATATATATTAATACACAAACATTATATAAGTATCTTAATCAGAGGTAGAAATGTAAACTGCAATATGGTAAATATATACTATATATATATATCAATACAATATATGTCAATACATAAAAATGTTTTAAACAGACATAGAAACATGCATGCATACAATAGTCAATATAATTTAACTTTGTATCAATATAGAAGAAGCAATACCAATATATTTGTCTAAAAGCAGTAACTCACAATTATAAATCTATTATCCCATCATCCCTCTTTTTTTTTTCAAAATGATCCCTGAACTTATAAAATTCCTCCCCCAACCTCCCAACCCCTAAATGATGTCCCTAAACCCAGGGGTAAACTTTACTGGGAGAGGGGATGTCATCCTCTAGAATTACTTCCAGCTGTCATAGGGGCGATGTTCTTTCTGGGAGATCCTGTGAAAGTAAAATGATGGTTAAATTTCAAGATCAATGTCTTTTAAAATTGAAAATAGTCTCTGAGTATTTTGTGGAGGTCTGGCCAGAATGTTGTACAAAATATGCACCATTTCAGCTGACCAAGTTGGGATCGTCTTGTGCAGCTGGTATCCAAAACAGGTCTTGTAGTACAGCTATCAGTATCATAACGTCCTATCAACCAGGTAGAGTTGTTGTTGTGGGGCCCCATCTTCTTCCTGGAAACTTCAAATGTCACTTCAGGAAAAATTCATTGTTCATTGTGAAAAACTTAAACATTAATCATATAGACATGCATATATATATTCAATGAAAGGCATGATAGATATATTCAATGAAAAGTATGATAGATATGAAGAAAAGCAAAGATGTTTTCTAAACTCATATTTCTTTCTGTCCCATATCATGGCTCTTGACATGAGAGAGAAACTCCAGAAACTCTGGGTTTTTCTCTTACTAACAGGCTTGGAATTGGAGAGGGACTGAGCCAGAGTCCAACTTCAAAACCAGCTCTATATATTTATAAAGAAATGTTTAATAAGACATATATAAAAATTAATACTTACAAAATGTGTCCATACATCAGTAATTAAATATTCAGGGTCCCTCAATTTCTTTGAAGATGAGTATTTTCCTGTGGAGATAAGAAAAGAACCCTGCCTCCAACCTATCTGTATTTCTTACCATCAGTATGTTCGCCATCCTTATGAAAGAATTGTTATTTATCTTTTCCAAGTGGCTTCTCTTCTTCAAACCGAACCTTTATTAATTTTGATGGTATCCAAAATTGAATAACCTTGTTGATGGCCCTGAGATCTGTCACCATTCTCCATTTACCTGATTTTTTCTTAACCACAAATACAGGAGAATTCCAAGGGCTGGTAGATTCTTCTATATGTCCAGCATCTAATTGTTCTTGTACCAGCTGTTCTAAAGCCTGTAACTTTTCCTCAGCTAAAGACCATTGCTTT